AGATGTGAAGACGATGAACCTTCCAGGAATTCTAATTTTGGTCTTTCCTTGATTTTTCCAGTAAGGGCTACTGACAACTGAATGGTATAGGGGATAAAAGAAGTAGTGGAGGGAGCCAAGATGGCGGAGTGAAAGCAGTGACTTGCTTGAGCTCTCCTCCAAACCCCTCCAAATACTCATAAAAAATGGCTCTAAACAAATTCTGAAGCAGCAGAACCCGCAAAAAGACAAAGTGAAACAAATTTCCAGCCCAGGACAACGTGGATGATTGATCAGAAAGGTGTGTCGCGCTGGGCTGGGAGTGCAGCGCAGCGTGGGTGCACAGGCCGCAGCGTGGACACGCAGGCTGCAGCAAACCTGGAGCAGGCCTCAGAGGACTGAATCTCGAGCAGCTGTGGAGGTTTCCAGATTCCTCAATCCACCAATGCCAAAGACAAATTAGAAGGTCAGTGGGAAAAGTCTGTTTCTGTCGGTGCCTGAGAAAGGAAGGCGGGGTTTCAGCTCCATTCCCCAAGAGCGTGGCCCTGTGGGGGGGGAGCTGCTTCCCGAGCTTCCGGCCCACAGACTGAGGGGGAATCCAGTGGCTGATCAGAGAGGGATTGCAGGGATCTCTTTGCCAGTGCTAAGGCAGGAAATCTCTTCCTTTGCCCATGTTTGGATCTGGGTCACAGTTCTGGGCAGTGGTGCTGGGGTGAGGAGGAGCGCTGGCTTGGTGGAGCTTGTAGTGGTTGTGGAGAGGAGCCCCTCCTCACAGTTACAGGACAGAAAGGAGTACTTGTAGTCGCAGGCCAGGAAAGGAGTAAACACCTTGCCCCTTATCATACCACCTTGGAAGAACTGAAAATTTACAGGTCCCTACAAGTATCTCTGAAAACAGCTGTACAAACCCCTGAAGCTTGGGACAGTACATTCTCCACATTGGAAGCAGATTCGTACCTTAACAAAGAGTTTAAAACTCAAGTAATTGGCCGGGATCATGAGCAAGCAGGCAAAAAGAGTCAGACTATATTATCTTACTTTGGTGAAAAAGAAGACCAAAATATACAACCAGAAGAAGACAACAAAGTCAAAGCCCCTACATCCAAAGCCTCCAAGAAAAATATGAATTGGTCCCAGGCCATGGAAGAGCTCAAAAACGATTTTGAGAAGCAAGTTAGAGAAGTAGAGGAAAAACTGAGAGTGATGCTAAAGGAGACCCAAAAAAATACTGAAGAAAATAACACCTTAAAAAATAGCCTAACCCAAATGGCAAAAGAGGTCCAAAAAGCCAATGAGGAGAAAAATGCCCTAAAAAGCAAAATTGGCCAGATGGAAAAGGAAGTCCAAAAGCTTACTGAAGAAAATACTTCCTTAAAAATTAGAATAGAGCAATTGGAAGATAGTGACTTTATGAGAAATCATGACACAGTAGAACAAATCCAAAAGAATGAAAAATTAGAAAACAATGTGAAATATCTCATTGGAAAAACAACTGACCTGGAAAATAGATCCAGGAGAGAGAATTTAAAAATTATTGGACTATCTGAAAGCCATGATCAAAAAAAGAGCCTAGACATCATCTTTCAAGAAATTATCAAGGAAAACTGCCCTGATATAGTAGAACCAGAGGGCAAAAAAGAAATTGAAAGAATCCACAGATCTCCTCCTGAAAGAGATCCCCAAAGGAAAACTCCTAGGAATATTGTAGCCAAATTCCAGAGTTCCCAGGTCAAGGAGAAAATATTACAAGCTGCCAGAAGGAAACAGTTCAAGTACTGTGGAACACAATCAGGATAACACAAGATTTAGCAGCTTCTACATTAAAGGACCGCAGGGCATGGAATATAATATTCCTGAGGGCAAAGGAGATAGGATTACAACCAAGAATCACCTACCCAGCAAAACTGAGTATAATCCTTCAGGGGAAAAAATGGTCATTCAGTGAAATAGAGGACTTTCAAGCATTCCTGATGAAAAGACCAGAGCTGAATAGAAAATTTGACTTTCAAATACAGGACTCAAGTGGAACATGAAGAGGTAAACAGGAAAGAGAAATCATAAGAGACTTATTAAGATTGAACTGTTTACATTCCTGCATGGAAAGATGATATTTATAACTCATGAGACCTTTGTCAGTATCAGGGTAGTTGGAGGAAAAAATTATATGTATGTATATGTAGATAGATAGATAGAGGGCACAGGGTGAGTTGAAGATTAAGGGGTCATATCTGGAGAATAAAATTAAGGGATGAGAGAGGATTGTATTGAGAAGAAGAAAGGGAGAGGTAGAATGGGGTAAATTATCTCACAAAAAAAAACAACAGAAAAGTCTCTTACAGTGGAAGGGGAAACAGGGGAAGGTGAGAGGGAATGAGTGAATCTTATTCTCATAGGATTTGGCTTAAGGAGGGAATAACATACACATTCAATTGGGTATGGAAATCTGTCTTACCCTACAGGAAAATAGGGGGGAAAGGGGGACAAGAGAGCAGGGGATGAAGAGAGGAGGGCAGATTGGGAAAGGGGTTAATCAGAAGTAAATACTTCTGAGGAGAGACAGGGTCAAAAGAAAGAATAGAATAAATGGGAGGGCAGGATAGGATTAAGGGAAATAGAGTTAGTTTTTCACAACATGTCTACTATGGAAGTGTTTTGCATAACTGCACATGTACAACTTATATTGAGTTGCTTGCCTTTTCAATGAGGGTGGGTGGGGGGAGGAAGAGAGAAAATTTGAAACCTAAAGTTTTAAAAACATATGTTTAAAAAAAATGTTTTCACATGCTACTGGGAAATAAATATAGGAAATGGGGTACAGAAGTCTATCCTGCCCTACAGGAAAATAGAAGGGGAAGGGGATAAGAGAAGGGGAGAGAGATAGAAGAGAGGACAGAGTAGGGGAAGGGATATTCAGAATGCATGACATCTTGGGGTGGGGAGGGGGGAGATGGGATGAAAATTTGGAACTCAAAAACTTATGGAAAGGAATGTTGAAAACTAAAAATAAATAAATTTATCTTCTAAATAAATAAATAAATAAATAAATAAATGGGGAAAAAGAGTAGTGGAAAGAAGACAGGCGTCAGAAGAAGTGGGATCCTGTAGCTCCATTACTAACTGCTGAGACATAGTGCGCATGTCACCTCTCTGGGTCTCATCCATCTAAATGGTGCTCATTGGATTTCAGAATTGGAAACGCCCTAGAGATCACCTGGTCTAACCCACTCTGACTTACCTGAATTCAGAGAAGAGACAGAGGCTCTGAGAGGGCTCAAGTCACACAGCTGGACCCAGACCTATGGTGGTGTTTGTCATACTTATGTTATATGACTGCTTCCTCTAATACCACCTGTCTTAGTTACCTCATAGGGATTTGTATTATGAGGACCAAAGGAAATACTGTATATAAAGGTGCTCTGAAAAATGCAATGCTCAAATTTTTTTAGATCTTCAAGATTAACAAAGTGCTTTTTAAACAAACAGTTAATCAAAATTATTATTTTTTACACACAGGAGAAGCAGCATAGTGCAGCAAAGTGATGGACTTGAAGTCCTGGGTTCAAATCCTGCCTGATGATTAGCTATGTGCCCATGAATCAGTTATAATGACATTTTGAGCCTCAAGATTTTTTAAATCTGTAAAATAATACCTTTAATATCTCTAGATGAGGGCTAACGGGATGAGTGTAAAGTACTTTATAAACCTTAAAGTCTGCTATTGGAGTCTGGGTTGTATAGGGAATAGAATACAGAAGACCCAGGTTCAAAGTCTATCTCTGATTTGGATCACCTGACTAGCTGTTTAGCCAGGAGCAAGTCATTTAATGTTTCTGAGCCACTGGGGACTCTTAAGACTCTCTACTAAGTTACAGAGTTTATGGTTTGGGTTAGTGGATTTCACTAATCTATGACCTAACAGATCCTTGATGTGTTATTATCTTCATTGTCCAAGGCCATGTGCATGAGGGCCTAAAGCCAGGACTCCAGCAGCCTCTTGTGAGTCTTGCCTCACCTTGCCTCACCCTGCCCCCAGGCAGTCTCTGCTCCCTGCACAAGCACCTCCAGGTGCATGAGGTGCATGAGGCGGAGTATTACTGTCTGCACTCTGTTTGCAGCCCTCATCACAGAAGCCATCCAGCCCCTGGGTAACATTCTCCATTTCTCATTCCTTTCCAGGAGAAAACAGCATCTCCCACAGGAGTGAGTATGGCTGGTTATACATAATCTGAGTGAAAAGTGGCATGTGTGACTTTGGCTTCGGGATTTCACACAACATGTCAGTTTTGTGCTCTCCTTTACTTCTGTGCTTGTGTTTAGAAAAGCCATCCAATGATGAGTGGAAATAATTACAGTTCCCATTCTCACAGAGCTTCATGGCTCACAAAGCACTTTTCTCTGAATAATCCTACCAGGAAAGTGGGGTGAGGATTATTTTTATAGATGGGAGAAAATGTAGGTAGAGAGGTTATTATAATTATTCAACATACTAATAACAATGAGAATCACTACCTCTCAGAGAAAGCATGGTGCCCATAACAGGAGGCTGGGTTTTGGGTCTGTGTCCATGGAAAGTCACTCTGTTCCCTTTAGTTTCAATTTCCTTATCTTTAAAATGCTGATACTAGTCTGATATCACCTACCTTACAGGGCTATAGGGGGCAAGTGTCTTGTAGATTTTAAAGCAGCAGCCAAACAAGAGCTGCTACTATGTGTTAATACAGCGCTCCAAGTTTTATAAAACATTTTCCCTCAGGGAAGAGAAGGGAAGGGAAAGGAAAGGAGTGTTCATAATATTAACTATCCATTTTACAGAGAAACAGAGGCTCAGTAACTTGCCCAAGGTCCTATGGGAAGCTGAGATGTGAATGTGAAGTCCCTCAGTCTTAATTATCCTGAGGCTCCCTTTACCTTTATCTCCCCCTGCCTATTAAACATTTTAGGCTCCATACAACAGCAGCAGTTATGCTCTGAAGCAGCTAGTAAGAGGAAGACCAGTCAATAATGGAAAGGAGAAACAGTACCAGGTGCAGGGAGCCATTATTGGCCACTGCAGGAAGGCTGGCCCAGCGTTCATTCTCCAACTCCTCCATCACCTGGTTCATCGCACTCTTCAGCCACGTATCTACAGAAACCCCAATCTGTTTCAGGAGGTCTAGACGTGCTTCAGCTTTCAGCTTAATTATCTACAGAGACAAAGTGAGAGAAGAGGATTAGAAAATGGAGCAATTATTTTGGTTTTGCTTGATGCACATTTATAGTCCTTCCTAACTGCCTTATATTTAATGAAAATGTGTTCATTTTGCATAGACTTATATATGTACATTTGGTCTCCTCTAACAAAAATGTTGGCTCTTTTGTGTTCGTATTCCAAACCTAGCACAGTGCCTGGCATATAGTAATCACTTAATAAATGCTTGTTGATTACACCGATTGGTCCATCACCATTGAAGCCTTGTGGAGACACGACCCACCTATTGCCTCTGTGGGTGCAGTGGTCACTGCCTCCTCCAGACCCACAGATCAAGACCCAGACCCAGAAATAAGCTCTTCCACCAAAGTCTTTGACACTGTCAAAGATTCAACATCACAAACTAATTTGATTTCATCAATGGAAAAACAATATAGAGGATGTGTTATCATTTGTGTTGTACCTTGTGGACCACCATGCATTTCCATTTGCCCTGCAGCTGAGCCCCCCTGTTGCTTTTCTATTTGTATCTTTAGTACAGTGTTTTGCACATAATAAGTACTTAATAAACATTTCCTCCATGCATTACTTTCTGGTCTACTAATCAGAGTAGACACGTAGCTGTCAGTGTTCCTCTTTGGCAAGGGAAACAATAACAGGAGCTCACCTTTCTATAGTGCCTTCAAGTTTGAAAAGTACTTTCCTTGAGGTTTCCTTTCTAACAGATTAGGAAGCAGAGACTTCAAGGAAATCAAGTCACTTATGCAAGACCACCAAGCTATTAACTGCCAGAGCCAGGAGTTAATCAAAAGTCTCCTACTTCCAAGCTCAATGTTTATGTCCCAACTGCTAGAATTGAGATGAACCAAGAACTCATGAAGCTTCTAGAATGCCCTACCGCAATACTTCTTCTTTTTGCATTGGACTTATGATTCACTGGTCTTTCTCAATCCTCATCTTTCTTAATCTCTCTGCAATGTGTAATTTTGTTGACTACTCTCTCTTTCTGGATTCTCTTTCCTTAGGTTTTCTTGAGATTTTTGTCTCTTGGTCCTCCTCCTACCTGTCTGAGCACTCCTCAGTCAGTGTCTTTTGCTGAACCATCATCTACATACAACAATACAACATACCCACTGACTGTGGGCACACCCCAAGACTCTGTATTGTGTCCTTTTCTCTTTTCCACTCTCATACTTAGTGACCTTCATCAGCTCCCAAAGGTTTACTTGTCACAATGAAGATATATTCTCTCTCTCATTCTCTCTCTCTCTCACCTGAGTTCCAGTCCCATAACACCAACTGCAAGGTAAATCTTACATGCTTGTATAAGAGCTGGAAGGTTAAGTCAGAGGCCATACAATCCAATCCATATGTGAAATATAGACCTCCTCACCAAAATCTTTGAGAAGTGAATACATATGGGATTCAGACTCTGATGCTATATTCCTGACTCATTCCCTGTCTAGACATTCCCCATTTGCTCTCACCCCCAGTGGAACTGGCCTAATTCACACCAAACACTGTATTTCAGAGAATTCATGGATAGCATTTTGCATGAATGGGGTTAAGAGTGAGTGGAGAGGCATTAAAGGATATGTTGGCCTCTTCTTCCTCAGGACCTTGAGTATCAAAAATGTCCAAGAAACAATGTCATAGTCCAGGGCATCTGGAAGAAAGGTGTTTTCTACTCCTTTTGACCCAGGAAAGCTCTCTCTTCTCTAATAGGTGATAGGAAGTTTTAGCTTAAATTTATCTTTAAAATTTATTAAAATGTTATTTACTTACTCTTAGTAATGACTTTCTCAACTGCCCTTTCTCCCTTTATTATCTTAATTCTTTCAATACTTGTCAACACCATATAAACTGCTTCTTCTTTTGTTCAGCCTCATTGGTCCTCCCCCACTCATTCGGTAAGAGATTTCCATTCTCAGACTGAAAACAGAATCCTGTTTACACCTTCCTTATGTTCCATGTTCTACTCTGATTTTGTTGCTTTTGTCATATATGTGCCTTATTTTCCCTCCTGGAGCCAAAGATCCATTAGGGCAGGAACTGTAACTTATTTATTTATCCTTATAATGATGATGATGATAATGACGCATTACACAACTTAAAGGTTTACAAAATAACCTTAAGCATCAACCCAGTGAGGTAGAGAGTGCAAAGAATTGTAACCCTATTTTACAGAAGAGGAAACTTGAAATTTAGAGAGATGAAGGCCACCACAGAATGATAATCACAGATACTTCTATAAGGCTTTAAAGTTTACAAAGAGATGTACACAAATTATCTCTACTCCTCAAAGCAATCTTATCAGGTATGTACTAGAAGTACTCATTTACAACTGAGGCTCAGAATGGTTGAAAGAATTTAGGGTTAGGTCTTACAGGGGACAGCCCTTCCGATACATTCTCCTAAGACTTGCTTTCTTCAGGCTAAACATTTCTGGTTCCTTCCAATCCTTGAATGTCATGCATCCTGGTTTTCCTCCTCTGTTACGCTCTGAAGTTTAACAATGCCCTTCTGAACACTAGGAGGCAGCCCCAAGCTAAATGAAATAGGAGAAAAAAAGGAAAGAAGGGAGAAATGTCGGAAGGAGAAATGATGATCAGGAATTGTGAATTTCTAGTGGATTACTGAACAGGCCATCTCAGGATCATTGTTTATGTTTGGCCTGGGGAATACTTGGGGGGGGGGGATGTCAGCTGTCTTCCAATACTGGAAGAGCTGCCACATGGAAGAGGGATGAGCTTGGTTCCACTTGGCTTTGGCAGTCTGGGGAAGCCTACGAACCACTTCATAGAATAAGATTTTTAAATAATTGATGGAAATGTAAAATTTCAGTTAGTGGTTAGTAAAAATAAAGATGTAACTTTTTCATCCAAGTTTTTGGATCTCCTGAAGCTTATTCACAGATTAAGTCTGTGTACCCCTGCTAAAGAAACCTTGCTCTAGAAGCACAATGGAGGTAGACTGCATTTGCAATCAGAGGAACTAAGTTCACATCTCAGCTCAGGTGCTACTTGTGTAACCTCAGGCCAGGTGTGGGGAACCTGCTGCTTCGAGGCCACACGTGGCCCTTTAGATCCTTAAGTTCAGACTTTTGACTGAGTCCAAGTTTTACAGAATAAGTCCTTTTATTAAAGGGGATTAGTACTGTGAAGTCTGGATTCAGTCAAAGGCAACACTTGAGGACCTAGAGGGCTACATGTGGCCTTGAGGCCCTAGGCAGATAACCAGCGACCCACAACTAAAGCTTTGGGTTTTTACATATCAAGTTCAATCATGTGAGTTTCTCATACAAATCTCCTTTTTAGCTCAGCCTTCCAATCAGGGCTACCCCTAGCAACATCAGAATCTGGCTTGCTTCCTCCCTCCATTCACCCCCCAAGAACATAAAAATCTGGCCGGCATCTTTGGTCTCCACAGAGAAAAAGTAAAGCACTAGTACAAGTACTTAGTCTAACACAACAGCCCACAAAACATGTGAAAGACTTGTACTGGAGCCCACAAAGGATCAAGAGGAGTCTGCTTCCCTCTGCAGTGAGCTTCAGCTCCCCCAGGGACCTAATATAAATCTCCAGACTTGTGCTTCTACCTCAGGGTTAAGTCACCCCTGCGAAGGGAAAGAAAGTGGGGGGTCTGGAGAACCAAGTGAACCCTTCCTGCAGTGAGTTTTACTGTAATGCAGCCCCTTTGTATTACCCTGGGGTTGAGGTTCTCCCATAAGGGAGAAGAACTTGCAGCTTGTAGAGAGCTAAGGGCCTTAACCCTTCTCTCTTTTTTTTTTTTAAGGGCAACTGGGGTTAAGTGACTTGCCCAGGGTCACACAGCTAGTAAGTGTCAAGTGTTTGGTCTGAGGCCAGATTTGAACTCAGGTCCTCCTGACTTCAGGGCTGGTGCTCTATCCACTGTTACCACCTAGCTGCCCCCTTCTGAGGAACTCTTGCTCTCCTAGGATACCACTGTAGGGCTGGAGATCTTTCTAAGTCTCAAGGTTCAAATCCCAACTCTTCTCACCTCTTAGAGCCTTACTTTCTTCATTTGTAAAAACAAGGTGGCTGGATTAGAGGGTCAGTGTGGTAGAGGGTGGCCCTGTATGCCGGACCTGGAATCAGGAAGGTCTAGGTCAAAATCAGGTTTCTGATACTTACTAGCTGTGTGACCTTGAACAAGCCCACTTAACCTCTCTGAGCCTCAGTTTTCTAATTTATACAATGACAATAATAATGTCTGTAAATCCAATCTCATAGCACTGGTGTGTGAGGCTCAAATGAGATTATATGTAAAGTGCTTTGAAAACCAGAAAGTACTATACAAACTATAGTTGTTACTGTTATTGTTGTTGCTTTTATGATTATGATTTCTAAGATCCTTTCCAACTATAAATCTATGATGACCTTGGCTAACCAGTCAAGATGATGAAATAAGAGGTTCACAGAGAAGCAGTTTCTTTATATAACCCTCAAAAACCAACAAACAGGAGGGCAGCTAGGTGGAGCAACAGATAGAGCTCTGGCCTTGGAGTCAGGAGGACCTGAGTTCAAATCTAACCTCTAACTTACTAGGTGTGTGACCCTGCATAAATCACTTAACCCCGACTGCCTCAACAACAACAACAAAACAAGGATAAAAAAAACAACACAAGAAAATAAAAATCAATCAAAATAAAAAATAAGAAAAGCAAAGAATACTGATAAAATGAAATTTAAAAAACTTAACTCCAACAGAACCAGCTAAAAGACCAGAAGTGATGGATGGAAAATGGAACCATGCAAGAAAACCAGGAGAAGACTCCAAATGGCTAAATAACACACTCAAATAAATTGAATCTGCATAAACAGCAAAGAGAAAGTCACAAAACAAACAAAAAGAGCTCTAAGCAAAAACAAAATAAAAAAAAAAACATGGGGAATTTAAAACTGCTTTAGAAGATCAGCAAGTAATGAAGAAAATGAGCAACATGGAGAATATAATAGAAAACCTGATCCCATG